AAAAAAAAAAAAAAAAAAAAAAAAAAAAAAAAAAAAAAAAAAAAAAAAAAAAAAAAAAGAAAATCGAGTTGGGCTATTTCGATAAGAAGAAGAAAATAGTTGCGTCACGCTCAAATGGCCTAATAATGGCTGTAGATTAAAAATGCATTTCGAGCATCGAACAAAAAAAAAAAAAAAAGAAAAAGAAGAAGAGCAGGGAAGAAAATAACGTTATTATCGTGATTACCTACTTGGCGCGATACGCGCGCTTTAGCATTTTTTACGGGGAACGTTATGTATTTTTTGTATCATAAAATTCGAAGCGATAAAACTGAAAATTTTTCAACTATAGGACAAGGCCGTGTGGTTAATGAAGGTACCCTCTGATAAGCTACATATTACCACGAACGTATGAGTGGAAAAAAAAAAACAATAGTATAGCGAATAGAATAAAAATAAACCAACTGACCTGTTCGGCACTCGCTGTCGCCTTTTCGTACTGAAACCGTTGGGCATTGAGATAGTCAAGTAAGGCAGCCGGCTGCTGTTGCGGCCTGTACTCCGGGCGAGGGTACAACTGATCGGTAACCGCTGCGTTGCCGTGTTGCTGCTGACTCAGGATAATGTCCAACGTTGTGGGGCTCCATAAATTCGGTGTCTCTTGAGCGTAAGAAGATGCGTACGCGTGACCAGGTTGGTGCTGCTGCAGCTGAGGATGGGCGTACAGTCCCAGGTACTGGCTATGGTGCTGAAGCATTGCCTCCCGAGACGCCTTGTAACTCGGGAGTAGTCGGTTGTAAGCCGCCACTTGTTGTTGTTGCTGCTGCTGCTGCTGCTGCTGTTGTTGCTGCTGCTGCTGCTGCTGCTGTTGTTGTTGCTGCTGCTGCTGCTGCTGCTGCTGCTGCTGCTGCTGCTGCTGCTGCTGCTGCTGTTGTTGTTGTTGTTGTTGTTGTAGCTGCTGCTGTTGCTTCTGCCACTGGCTTGTAACGTCTGACCCTGGAAATAGAAAATCAGGTTTATTTATTGGCTTTCAAGTAGGGATTTTTTCTTTGTCACGGTGTGTTATTCATTAATCGTATTTAAATATTACGCTCATCGGGATAGCGAAAAAAACAATCTTTGATGTATTTTAACTGCACCCATATAGAAATAGATTATCGTCTTTATGATTATTTTAGAAGAGCTCGTGAACTGTTTGTTTTTTTTTTTCAAATCGAAATTTACAGGTCATTTTTACTCGCGAATGACACGAATTATTTAGAATCATAATCGACGTGATATCAAAATTTCACTCGTGTTACGGTACGTGCTTGCCAGTAATCGGTTCTATGCTCCGCGGATCGAAATCGGATAATCGAATTTTCTACTCGTTGCGCGTCGTTTTTAAATATAGAACTTTACAGTCGCTTACCAGTAATTTGCAAATTTTCCCATTAGACCCGATATACATTCCAATGTTTGATCTATCATTTTTAAATACATATTATATCAATAATCGAACGTGGAACACAAAAGTTTCCCGAAAACTTGCGTTATCTCGCAATCAAATGTTTTTTTTTTTTTTTTCCAAAGAATCAATCAACAACTAATTGACCCACACTTATACTCTTGGAACAAATGTAATTTTAATTAATCGCCACCGGCAACATCATTGAAAATATCAATATCGCATTACTCCGATTAAAATGTTAATAATTGTCGTATATATATATATACATATTATAAATTTTATTCCCATTAGTAACTGTTATTCTCGATAGTGTTGTCATTAACATGATTGTAATTAATAAAATCAATTAGTCGAAATGTGATTCATGAGTGTGCATTGATAATTGAAACAAAGTCATTCAAGATTTCGATTCTTGGTCACGAAGCATAAATAAATTTTTTTTTTTTCCCCCGAGCTCCTATCACCATCAGGAGATTGTTACCTTGGATGTTGGTTTGTTTGAAACAGATTGTTTTGTTCTCGTCCTACAGGTGCAAGTTAAAAACCATGAAAATAGAAAGATCCAATGGAAAAAAAAAAAAAAAAAAAAGCGGGTAAACCCGTATTGAGAGGTACAAGGATAAACAAACTGACCGCGTTTCCTCTTCTTCTTCTCGTCGGCGTTAGCCCCGATGGGAGCGTTGCTCGGTCTCTTGCTGTTGCCCTTGATCGCCAGATCCAGGGGCCTCCTGTCCTCCTTCGTCGTCCCCACCACCTGCTCCTCACCAGCCTGCTGGTACTGCCTCGGCTGGTGCTCGGTCGCCTGCACCTCGGTAACCGCGCCCCCGTTGCCGCCGTAAACTTGGGTGTAGTGGTAATGGGGCGGCGGGTGCTCGGCAAAGTTGGCGGCGAGAGCCTCGCGGGGACTGTTGGGCAGCGCGCGAGCCCCCTGGAGGGTCTCGCGCGAGTGGAGCGGGTAGACCGAGGGCCGAGAGTTGAGCTCGTCTATCATGAAGGTCGACGAGTTGGAGCGCTGCTGGACCGGGGCTCGCTTGTTGCTCGGTGACGCCGGCATGGTCCGGGGTACGCTCTCGTCGCTTCCTGCTGTGTTTTTCCGACTGCGGGTGGTGCTTGTGACGAGGCTGTCGTTCGTGGCGGCCGGTTCGACGATCACCGACGTCGTTGTCTGCAACTGCGAACAGCCGATCACACCCTCATTTTCTTTACAATATTAATGGGCTCTCGATTGCCCCGGGAATCGTTTCATTCTCGCTCTCTATCCGGAGGTCTATCTTAATTGTGCGTTCATCATTTTGGGAAACGATGCTCTTGAACGATTTTTTCATCGGCGATTGATAACGATTTTTAAGTGGAGCACATCAACACCGGTGATTATATATTTATAGATCTGAGTGTTTCTTCATTTTTTATTTTTATTTGTTGTTTTTCAAGTGAAAACGCTTATTTTTAGGGTACGCGTATTTATGCTCAACATCACCAGTTTTTGGTTTGCCATTGAAAATAACGCGTCGCACGTTTTCAATTTACAAATCAAAAAAGTAACGGGGAATCGGTTGGCTGTATAGTGAGTATCCACTGCACACGCGTATACGCATGTATTATGTTGTCTTTTCATTTTTCAATATAAAATCCTACATACACATACGTTTATCTTGAAACGAGATTAAGCGCGATCCTCGTCCAAGTACCGGCCTCGAAAACCAATACCGTACAGAAGGGGGTATATATACCGATCTAAAAGCATGTACCGAGCAACCCTTTGAACGGCAGAGCTTCCGTGTATACATACATACGGATATACAAGTAATTAGATTAGCAGGACACCCTCACGGCGCGTAATGTACGGTGTTGTGTTACAGCGAGCAGAGAGGACAGCTGCTGAAATCCTCCCCTTACGCGAATGGTAACGCACGCATGTATATGTGTACATGTATGTCGTCGACAGAGCATCAAATGGAAATTAACTGGACGAAATTAATTGGCTGCCGGCGCTGCGTTTGTACGTGCATGCACTTGTTGGACGCGGAAAAAGGCTCGAGGGGGTAAGTCGAAGATCAAAGAGCGCGATTTTATTACGACGCACCTGTTGGTGTGCCAAGGCTGGATGATAAACTAATTTTTAAAAGGTTTTAACGAGTTGTTTAACGCTTTAAGGTTGCCATTTTAGTTTGAACACAATAAAAAAAAGAAAAAATTTTTTAATCAAGCACGCGACCGACTAATAAACAATGGACTGGTTAGCTATAGTTGTCGATTCATTGTTACCGATTTTCCGGTGTTTGGTAAAAAGTGACGATTTGCTCGTAAGTATAATGTTGCATCTTACCCATGTAAAACAATGTGTGACTGAATAATAAATCGTTCGATGTACCGTATGCAAAACCTAATAACAAAAAAAATTTTTTAAAAACTCTCAAGAAAATAAACTTTATTAGGGAAATTACTGTATCCTCTCGCATGAACCCCCACCACCTCAGTATATATGCGTCATTGTAAAAATATTACATGTATATTTGCAAGTGAGACACCAGATTACAATATCATCACCGGCTCGTTTTCTTATCTAGCAAAATACACCAGATAACAGACTAAAAGTACCATTTAATCACCCGAGTGTTGATGAAGAGAAAAAAAAAAAAAAAAAAAAAAAAAAAAAAAAAAAAAAAAAAAAAGCTGCTGCTGTTGCTTCTGCCACTGGCTTGTAACGTCTGACCCTGGAAATAGAAAATCAGGTTTATTTATTGGCTTTCAAGTAGGGATTTTTTCTTTGTCACGGTGTGTTATTCATTAATCGTATTTAAATATTACGCTCATCGGGATAGCGAAAAAAACAATCTTTGATGTATTTTAACTGCACCCATATAGAAATAGATTATCGTCTTTATGATTATTTTAGAAGAGCTCGTGAACTGTTTGTTTTTTTTTTTCAAATCGAAATTTACAGGTCATTTTTACTCGCGAATGACACGAATTATTTAGAATCATAATCGACGTGATATCAAAATTTCACTCGTGTTACGGTACGTGCTTGCCAGTAATCGGTTCTATGCTCCGCGGATCGAAATCGGATAATCGAATTTTCTACTCGTTGCGCGTCGTTTTTAAATATAGAACTTTACAGTCGCTTACCAGTAATTTGCAAATTTTCCCATTAGACCCGATATACATTCCAATGTTTGATCTATCATTTTTAAATACATATTATATCAATAATCGAACGTGGAACACAAAAGTTTCCCGAAAACTTGCGTTATCTCGCAATCAAATGTTTTTTTTTTTTTTTTCCAAAGAATCAATCAACAACTAATTGACCCACACTTATACTCTTGGAACAAATGTAATTTTAATTAATCGCCACCGGCAACATCATTGAAAATATCAATATCGCATTACTCCGATTAAAATGTTAATAATTGTCGTATATATATATATACATATTATAAATTTTATTCCCATTAGTAACTGTTATTCTCGATAGTGTTGTCATTAACATGATTGTAATTAATAAAATCAATTAGTCGAAATGTGATTCATGAGTGTGCATTGATAATTGAAACAAAGTCATTCAAGAT